ATATATTGCTTTTGCTTTGATGCTGCACTGGAAAGGGCCAACGCTTCCTCTCATTTTGTAGTCCAGGCATGCTTTCTGCAAGAGGAATGACCCATATATCATTCACTAGACAGAAGAGAGATCCAGCACTTTTAAGTATTCTCCTTGTCTTCAGGCAGGTACCTAGCCAAAACCTGTACCTGCTAAAATTAATTCTCATTCCTTAGGTAAATTCTTTCTCTATGTTAATGTTACTGAACTGCTATAGAAGCTCTGGAAGTGTTAACACCTCTTCACATCTATCTTGGCAGAAGAACGTTCAGCGTTCTCATAAGTTATATTTCTTCTCGGGGCTGGCCCACGACATTTTGCTGCCTCAGAAAAGGACAAAATGCCTCCCCTGCTTCCCATTCCACCATCAGAAGCTGACTGAACTGGCATTTCAATCTTACTTCCACACCAAGGGGAAGACAGCGCCTTCCAATGTACCTGGAGGGTGGAGGCTGTCTCAGAGGCTTCATGGTAGGCAGTGCGACACGCACAGTTCTGTTGGAGAGGAACAGCTGGAGGGTCAAGAGTAGCTGAAGGGCTGCTGCCGCCACCACCCTGCAAACACCACCACACATAATTCCAGGGAGCTCAGCGCACGAGTCCTCCACTTTTATTTACATGGGCTGGGCTGCAAAAATGATTTCCCCATTATGGAAGCAAGATGTTCTGTTCCAGTTACCCTGACTTGATGGATTGATGTCCATCCCATGCACAAATAGAAAATGGGAATTGGGAAGGATGGGGAGACAGTGGGTTGGGGGAGTGTGCTCATATCCTTGGCTCCCTACAGAGTGGCCAACAGGAAACAAACCACACGGCATGTTTCCATCACCCTTTGGGGATCCACCCAGTCCAGGCAGAGGATACTTAGAACTTTCTGGTATTCTAGGAGCCCAGAAATGAGGGATCACCTGATCAACTTCTATTGAGTGCTCTCCACCTAAAATCTTGAACAATAGCAAGTTCAAAGCAAAAGGCTCTGAATTTCATACTCTGAAAGCAGAGCAAAACATGAAACAGTAAGCTTTATCAACAATAAGAAAGTGGGGGGGGGGAGGGGTAAAGGTGTGCAAAAAGGAGCCTTCGACCCAGGCTACAACATCTTAAACAATGGAGAAATCCTCTGAAATCATGCTATAGGCCAAAACAATAATATCCTATCTAGCCACTTAGATTTTTGTATCTGTTATCCACAGGTAAAGTTCTTTTAGATATGGCCTCAGGCAAAATTCCAGGCTGCATAACCAATTGCTGTCCACTGCAGAACTTCCTTGGCTTCTCAGAGAGGGGCTGAAAAAAACCCTTCCCGCCACCAGCTGAAATCAGTCAGCCTCATTCTTTTGTCAGCCCTTCAGCACAAACTCTGAAGACATGGAAATGGGGAGTAAACTATGATAAGGCACACAGGTTGATACAGTAGAGCCCTGACCCTCATGGAGGAAAGCTTCTAGTTCACAGCAAAAATCTCAAATGAGAAATAAATTTCTTGGTAGGAATGAACTCTAAAACAGGATAAAAGAGCAGCAGTACAAAACTGAAGCAAATCCAGCAACAGACAGTAGCCTCAGCCCATTAACTATCTTGCTGATCAGTTTGGACCAGATGAAGATTTCAGATCATTTTAAAAGGCAGCTCCACATATAATGCACTACAATAATTCCCAGAGGATACCAGAGCATAAATAACTATCGCCAGGCTAGCTCTCTGGAAATAAGGCCATAGTTGACATATTGACCCCCTTCCTTATGGGTGTTGTAAGAGTACAGCCCACTTGCCCTGTTTGTGGGATTTGCAGGGGGCTGCTCACACCACATCATTAATCTGCTCCAGTCATCCTACGTCATTCCATACTCTTGGCATCTCCCATATTTTATCACACCAGGAAAAAGCCTTTAATTGTTTTCGGATGTGCCATAATCTGCAAGAATGCAGTGGTAGGACTGCTTGATTCTGTGAGTTGTGCAGCTGTGGGACATGTGAGGTACTATTGCTGGGGGCTTATTAACAGGTCCACCCAGGAAGCCCCCCACACTTTTCTGCTGTGACTGCTTTTTTCTTCGTCCCCCACACAATGAACTTCTATTTTAACAAATGAAGGGTGTATATGTGAGGCAACTAGTAACATTTGGACCAAGGTTTGGTTTGGTTTGGTTTTTGGTAGTGGTGGAGAAGGTGGTTCTTCTCCAGTATTCCACAGTCAAGTTTAAATGCAAGTGGTCCTAATTCAGAACGGGACTGGGCATTCTGGGGGGTGAAGCTACAGTCTCCCACCTGCCTTGGCCCACCAACACCTTCAGTGTTCTCCTGTAAGTTTGCATACATACCAGAGGATTAAAAGAGAAAATGCCTGGAATGGATATTTCTTTATATTCTTAACTCCCCTCACAGGAGGAGGGGGTGCGATGTCAGGGAAGAAAACGTTGGGAGAAGGTTTAACTCACTCCTCCTGGAATGTCCTGGTTCCAAACTCAATTGGGACCATGGGCAGTTACACAGGAGTAAAAGTACAGCAGTAAACCTTTGGACTTTCAGAATCATGACATTCTGGAGAAGAGGGAAAACCCTGCAAAAGTCAACTCAGCACAAAGAAAGTGGAGGGAGGAAGCAGCAAAGGGAGAGCAGAGCTGGGGCTGCATCTCTGCGTACTGCTATAGACAGAAGATTGTAGCAGTTTCCCTCAACAGCACAGGGATCACACAGAAATCCTGTTTCACTTTACAGCAGTAGTCTAATGACTGGTGCCCTGAGGAGCATTCTGTGTAGAAGAACCCTAAGCTGATAAAGGGCACTCCATTCACCAAGGCCTCCAAGAACACCCCTAAGTATGAACTTGATTCTTTAGGGGGAATGCAGCTTTCTTCAAAACAAATTGAACACAACTCAGATAGGCAAATAAATTGTCCACTAACAGTATCTCCATCTTGTCTAGACTGACATTTTATTGGACCTGGAGACTGAGTCAACAGATTCAGTGTCTCAGCTAGAGGTGGTCCTCTTTCTCCTTTGACATGGAACCCCTGGCAATTTCTGTTAGCTAGAGTAGATAAAGATATGGATTTGTGCATGAGCAGAATGAGTATATATTGGCTTTCTGTGCAGATGATTGTTGCTCTTTATCAATGGATTACATTTTCAAATGCAGCCCTGCCTTGCTCAGCTTGGACACAGCAACATAGTACTTTGTGTGGCTGCATTGTGTTGTGGACCCTGCCTTGAAGCCTAACTGAAGTAGTTCTAGAAAATCAGTTTAAGCCAAGAATGTCCGGAGTTGGCTGGCAGCCACCTGCTTGAGCACTTTTCTCTGAATTTTCTCTGAATTTTGGCAATTGGCTCATAGCTGTTTCCATCTTCTAGTTCCAGGTTATATTTCTTTAGAAGCAGTATATTCATGGCCGCTTATAAAGATGTTAGTGCCACAGTTTCTCTAGTACAGGGGAATTTGCAGCTGCCTTACAGTTTCTACTGATCAGCCGGCAAAAGCAGGAATACTGATGCTTTTTGGTAGCTTCTTCTCTACTTATGTGAGAGATGATGTATTTGGATATATGCCTCTGTGGGTGATAGGTCAGAAGTTGCCCTCACAAGCTTAGGAAAAAGGAAACCTTGACACCTACTATGGAAAATGAATGTGAAAGTCCTCCCAAATTCTGACCAACAGGCAAATATATTGTCAGAATTCTATGGTATCATCCTGTTACTGGAACCTTGCAAATTAGTCCAAAATACACTTGGGCCAAGCTGTTATACATCTCCTGTGTCATTATTGAAATTAGTTTGAACCCAGGAGACATTTCCTAATATATATAGGTTCTTGCTCATTTGATCCATAAGAATCATTGCTCTTCTTCTGTGCAAGAAAATAAGATTTGTCTTCTCTGCCCTAGCCTCTGACTTTTTCTCTTTGCTGATCATTTTCATTTGGAAAGAGCAATGTTTGATCAAAACAGTATCCAGGATGCAGTTCAGTGAGTCACTCTTACCAATAACATTAGATTAGCAAAAATGTTCAAATCCACAAAGGAGTAATCTGTGGTTGGTACCTGTTATATGTCCCTAATCAGTGAGACATTCCAAGGACTACTCTCCTAACTTTTAATTTCCTTTGGATGAAGGGACGCTGGATATTAGAATGTCTGTGTAAATTTCTGATTTATTTACAATAATACAAGAAGGACACAATGGAAGAAAGATGTTAAGTTAAATTAAAATGTAATCCTGTACTCATCTACCTGCAACTAAGTCCTGTTGTACTTCTGAGTAAACGTGGGTAAAATTGAGCTGAAAATCAGCAGATCTCCAACCAATCAATTGGTGTGCAGAATTTCAAAATTGACACTCCAGTTCCTGCTAGAAATTTCCTGCTGCATGTCTGTCCCACTTCTCAGTGACCAGTGTCACATTCCCCAAACTCTGATTGCTATTTTATTTTAAATACTGGAGAAAGATTTCTAGCAGCCAGGAGACCATCCCCTGTCACTAGTTCTTAACTGATGAAATGTCAGTCCAATCTCCTAGACCATAAGCCATCTATCAACCTAACGGAGCAATAGGTCTGTTCACCAACAGCCCGACAGAAATAATTCTGTTCCCCCACTGGCACTGTTACAGTAGGTGTGTCTGGCAAGAAAATTCAAGATTCCCAGGAATGGTTAATGCAGCTGCAAGAGAGCACTGTGCAAGGAAGGAACACGTTGCTTGTTATCTGCACTGGAACAGTTTCCACTGTTCAGGTTGTTAAATGGCCTGTCTCTTCAGCAGTGGGAACTGCGGCGAAAGCAGTAAGCAGTATTTCAGCTCCATACACAGTATTTGACTGCCTTTGATTCCTGATTGTCACGTTCCAAAAAAGGAATAGCAGCGTGCATATATAAGATACAATGAGGTATTCACCATTATGCATTTGTACAGTGGAAGATCTAACCATGTAACATGTGTTTTCTGTTTTTTTTTTTTTTTTTTGTTCTTTGTAGTCCGAGATCGGGTACGATCAAAAATGGAAAGAGACATTTTGGCAGAAGTGAATCATCCTTTCATTGTAAAACTTCATTATGGTAAAGTGAATTCATATTTCCCTGTGGATGTTTTCAATTGCATATACATCATACTTGGTTGTTCAAGTTCATTATCTGAATTTGGTCTTAGATCACCTGTTCCAATATAGAGTGTACTTTGTATTTATTGTCAGTGTACCTTATCTATGCTACAGAGGAACTCAGGGTGGCATTTTAACCTCTGAATAATATTTCAAAGTAGAATAGACTGAAAGATAGCAACTTGTACAAAGCTTGAGCTACTTTATGTGTTCTGTCATTAAATGGCCATCTGCTTCTGTCCCAATTACAAGATTACCTTTTTATATCTTGCCTTTATCATGGAACTCCAGGCGGCACTGGGAAGGATCCCGGGGGTTCTCTCATCCAGGCACTGATGAAATCCAGGCTGCTTGGTTGGCTTCATCATAGTTTCTGCATCGTGTGCCTTCAGATCATGCCCTGTGCTTGCACCTGTTGAAGTGCTCTTACCTGTGGCCACAGATGTTTATGAATGTTTCAGATGATCATGCAGCCATGATAGCTGCTGTTCTGCAAAACAAAAACGCAAGAACTAGAACCACTCAGTGCCACTGAGGTCAAACATACTTTTGGTTTTGATCCACAAAAGGTCTGTTAGACCTGTTGATAAAACCCTCTCGTGCTTCCAGTGAACCTATGAAGAGGGCAGAGGCCCTTGTTCAGTAGCCATGCTCCTGTGAACTATGTGATGACACACCTGTATGTGCACCTGCATTGTTCATGTGTTGAGGACCTGTCATGCACACAGCCGAGCGTGTGGATGTCAGGATGGATGCCCAGAGCAGTGCCTTACCACTGGAGTTGTGTCCAGTTGCTACAGACTCTTATCCCAGCCACACATTCAGTAAATGCATAAGGGGTTTTGTTCAGTTTTGTGAAAGGCGCTTTTATCACTTACAGAGGGAGTATATTTAAACTGTCCAAATAACTGTTAAGCTAGCTTCTATTCTCCCTCCTATTCCATGAATGCCTTGAATTTATTGACCTTCGTTTTGTGTTTTGTGAGAAAGTCCTTGAAAAATGTAATGATGCATCTGCAGTGTTGCAAAAAGAATACAGTAGGCTAGCAAAGGGTATGTGCAAGGGAGCTATTTGCAAGTGAAACCTAAGAAAGAGAAGAATCTCATACTGGCATGGTAACTGGAACAACATATGTGAGAGTGCTGGCTTCTGTAAACCAGCTCTGTGTTGTTGTTTTGAAATTCAACAAATTCTTAATTTATGCGGGTTTATAAAGTTTGTCCAGATGTATTTATGTAAGTTTCATGGATCTAGGACTGCAATCTTAATATTTGTAGCATTCTGGCTTTCTTAGAGGGGTAAAAGGAAAAGGAGGACAATACAAACAAAAATGGTGAGAAATTGAAGAGAATGAAAAAGTGTTAAACCCTGAAACTAGTGCTTGAAGGAGAATTTAGTGGTTCAAATACTCTTCCAGGCATATTTTGAGAAAATATTGTCATTCCTATTTGATATTCAGTATTATATAGCAGTGATGGTATATTCCTTGAGACTTTCAGAGAAAGCATCTTTTGGGAAAAAAGGTAAACTTTTAGCAGAGTGACATCAAAGAAAACATTTCTTTGGAATATAGTGAGCTGTACATTTGAACCAATAAACTCTTAAGACCAAAGTTTGACATTTTCCTCTCTTTTCCTCCTCTTAGTCTTTCTCACAGGAAGCACTGATCTGCTTCCCATAGAATAGCAGTAGTACCTAATGAAGGTAACAATGGTTCATTGTAAGTAAGGTTCTGTCAAATTCTTTATTGTTAAAAAATCTAGTATTGCCATCTTTTTCCACTGCAGCATTTCAAACAGAAGGAAAACTTTACCTTATACTAGATTTCCTAAGAGGAGGAGACCTTTTCACTAGACTTTCCAAAGAGGTAAGCCAAAGAGACTATTTTTTTGCGTGCATAGAAAAGCAAATTTAAAAATGTACATTTGAGTGTGTCTGTTTTTTCATAGCAGAATTCACATTTACAATTTCATATATTTATCATGTTCAAATGAGAAATTTCATGTATTTGTTTGTATAATCAGTTAATCAAAACATTTTAATTGTGTCTCACCATGCATTTGGGAGAGGCAGAACTGGCAGATAAAAACAAGGACAATCTTGTTTGAAATACAATGAGAAATGCTATATCAAGTAGTCTAAGAGAAACTACACTAGAATCATCTTCTCCGTAAGACTTGAATTTTTTTTTAGCTAGACAGACCCCTTTGCCCCCCTGCCCATCCCTATCTAGTTCTCTCACTGTTAAATAGATGGACTTAATGTGTGAACTGGGTAATGGGAGATACAGGCAGAAGGAGTTTTCATGTTTTTCTAAGTGGTTTAGAAAGGGGTCCCCTGGCCCCTGCCATAGTCCTATGATCCTTAACAACATGTACCATTGTAAATTGTCTGTGAATACCATCTACACAATTGAAGAGAATTTTTGTAACAACATTGTCAAGGCAATTAGGTTGGTTGCCATGAGGAACAGGGCCTTCTCAGTGGCAGCACCCTCACCCCCAGCTTATAGACCCCTGTCCTGTTTGATGTCTGCTCCAATATTACGAGCCATCAAGTAGGCACTAAAGATTTGTCTGTTTACCACGACCTGTTGCTGACTTAGGATTTTACTGGGTGCGTTTGTGTGCTTGGTGTCATACTGTTTGAGACAGGGGTCCTCAAACTTTTTCACCAAGGGGCCAGCGGAAAGGTGCTGGTGCTGGGCGTGGGCCCCAAAGGTGGTGCCAGTGGGGAGCGCGGGCTGGCGAGGGGGCAGGGGCGGTGCATGGGGGTGCACGCGCTGAGGCAGGGGTAGGGCACGAGGCAAGGTGCGGGCGGGCATGCGCAGCGAGGGGAGGGGAGGTAAGGCAGGGACAGGCACGCGCCGCGAGGCAGGTGCACGAGGCAGTGGCTTGCTCACTTGGAGATCATTTTCTCCGAGCGAGCAAACCGCTGCCTCCCCGCGCACGGGCAAGGTGGGCGGCAGTGGGCACATGTGCGGCGGGTCCAACTGGGAATGACGGGCCAGATAAAAGGGCATGGTGGGCCAGATCCAGCCCCCGGGCTGTCGTTTGAGGACCCGTGGTTTGAGATGTTAACCTTGGTTGCATTATTGTTTTATTACTGTGTTCTTAAAATAGGTATGCCATCTTGGGAGGGTTATTCTTGAAAGGCAAAGGCAGCCTATACAGAGATTTATAGAAGTGTGATTGGCATGTTGTGAATAAACTACTTCATGGTATTGTGGTGCTTCCAAGTACTAACAAGACTTTTGAAGACTTATTTTAATAGTTATGGATAGAAAATACTGAAGTCCATCCATAAAAAATAAAGATGGTTACATTGCTCCATCGGAAAAAAACGCTTCAATGCTATGCTAAATTAGCTCTCTTCTTTGTTAGTTCCACCTCATTCTTTCTGGTCTGGTTCAACACAATACAACAATTTACCATGGAACAACCACTCATGGTGGATTGTCGTGTCACACAAGCTGAACCCAGCATTTTTCTTACAGCGTGGTGTCTATTTCACAAACAAGTCCAGAGAACCTATGGGTTGTTCAGGGTGGTTTGTTGAGACATCTGAACCTGGCAGGGTGGTTTCAGCATGGCCTGTTCAAAAGTGTTATGGAAGCTCTTGGCAAGGGTTTGCTTGCTGAACTTTGTCTAGCAAATTTTGCCTAGTGCTGTTGCCCTGTCAGTGCTTGCTTCTTGCTTGGTGTTCCTCTCCTTGCCCTTCCTCATGAATTGGCCAGTTCAGCTGACCCTTTATCCTTCCCCTTGTAAGTCTTTTGTTTGTTACTTCTAAAGTAGCTTTTAAGGATCTTGCAATTCTGCCAAGTTTAGTTGTGTCTTCCCCAAGCTCTATATCAAAACACTTACAGAAACAAATCTGAAAGCATCCTGGACATGAAACCCCTCAGTCTGTAGCTGAGTTATTTTCTGAAGTGGACAAACCCTTCATATTGTGCAATCCATTGTAAAATCTTGTGCACCTCAATTTAGATCCTTGGCAAGCCAGTGAACTGAAGCCAAGTCGTTTAGTATCACATAGTGGTTAGAGCAAATGGAACCTCAGCTGCAGATTTTGGAGGGGCTTGTGAAATCTTCCCACCACTGTTTGCCTTTCACACTAGCCAACAAAGGCCTTTCCCTTAATACCATTGCCTGTGGGCCATCACTGGGCTCAGGACAGATAGCCCTGCTACAGGTGTGGTAGTTGCCACAGGTACTGCAACGGGCATGGTCCACCCTCCTTTGCCAGGTATAGTGCCTTAGTCCCGATACCCCACGATGCAGCCCAGAGAGCAGGGGGGAGCACTTGCCCCCTCAGCCGCTACAGATCGCATGATGCAAGTATTGCAAGAGACGGAATGCGGTGCATCTGAGGCAAGGGCTGCCTAACAAGGTTAGAGCCAGGGCATTTGGGTGCCTTTCTGGACTCCAGGGTAACTTGATCTTCCACAATTGATCTCTGAGGGGAGACAGAGGGATGAAGCGTGGGAACTACTTCTCCAACTGTCGGAAGACAAAAGAAGGGTTAAAGGAGGGAAGGGGAAGGAGCAGAATGTTCTTCTCTGAAGGGTGAAGAACTTGTGGGTGGAGGAATTAGACAAGAAGAGAAGGAATGGTGCAAAGAGAGCAGGAGCAGGGATGACGCTTAGTGGATTGGCAGCAGGGAGGAAGCAAGAAGCGTGAAGGAAAGCTGCTTCTGCTGCAGGTGCAGTCAATGGTGGGAGCCAGTACCTGAGGAGGGAGCCTGAACGCAATGTGCAAAAGCAAAGGAAGGGTCACTTCTATGACCATCTGAGAGTGGAGAAAGGTACAAGGCAAGGGGATGAGCGACAGCTGCTTCTTGGGCAGGCAAAGAAAGAAGTGTGTGAACCCTGAAAGAATGGGGAGGCCAAAACAAACACAAGGAGTAGAGGGTTCACATTTTTATTGGTAAAACTGTGTGGGTTTTACTAAATCACTTTGTTGGTAGTGACTTGTTCAAGGAGGCAAGGGGAAGCATTTGATAAATTTTCATTCTGAAGTTGACAAATGCCTGGAAAAGTCAGCTGTCCAGTAGTGAAAGGAGCTACCAAAGGCGCAAAGGGTCATGGGATGCAAGTTATGCTGCAAAGGCTCCAGGGGTTCATGCGGGGATGGGTGGGGGGAGTCAATTTGACACAAGCTGTGGCAAGTCTCTCAAAGGCCAATTGTCTGTGGCACCATCATGGGTTAGCAACTGAATGACCAGCCAATGGTGGCTTGTTCTTAGGGTGCCTTATTGTGACATGCAAAGGTGCCCTCCATTTCTTCCCAGCATGAACTTAGTCAATGCTTTTCACAGCTTCCAAAACCACTTTCCTTCTGCAGATGATTCATGCTGCAGGAAATAATTTTTGACACTTGCACATACAGTGTTAACCTGCCATTCCATTTATTTATTTAATGAATGTATGTACAGCCCACTTTTAAGGTAAAAGAATTCACAAGGTAAGCAGATGACTGTGTGGGTTTGCAGCAGCAACCACAGGTTGGCAGTCACATGTCGGTGCAATGCTTATTGTGTGCTACTTTGCCCTTGAATGGCCAAGACAATTGCTGCAGGATGACCTAAAGCCACCGACTCGAAGTGAATGACATGCATCTGGCTGTCACCATCCGCTGCTAAAAACATGCTGTTCTCTCACTTGCCTCACCTGCCCATGCAGCTTTTCAGAGTCTGCTGCCTTGGTAAACTGCAAAGGCTGCTCAGTACTAAATTCTTCCTGAACAGCTGTGCGAACACCGAGCGACTGTAGTCATCACCTCGGAGCAGATGGGATTTAAAATTCTCTTCAAGGGAGCAATTTCTTTGGCTGCAGGTGAACCGCCTGCCAGTTCCCTTCCTGTGGCTTCCATATCCTCTGCAATGGAGGTCATGAAGGAGTAACACCCAGTCATCCTGCTGTTATACCTAGAAGAGACAAATATAGTCCTAGAGGGTTTTTTTTTAGAAAGCAGAGGTAGTCTTCAGAAAATGCAAGGCTGAGCACAAAAGAAAGATTTATGAAATATGCTTTAAAAGTAGACCCCTGCTGACTGCTTCCAACATGGTTAAGTAATGAGAAAAACAGAGATCCACACGTGTTGGCACACGGAGGATTAATCTCAGATCATCATAATAACAGAAGATTACAAATGTCCTTGAAGCCACCAAAAAGCCACTTTCTAAACATCTACCTTCTTTGTTTTTTGTTTGCTAAGACTTTTGAGTTGGAACAAGTTAGTCGTACACTTATTTTATAATAGTTAGAATAGAAATGCTAACCACTGGATTTATAGATGAAAGAATTAGAATTAGAACACAACTCCATTTTTTATTTATAGTAAAAATGACTCTGAATGGATTTGATTCTAGATCAGGCTTTCTGGTTCTGAGGGATGAATTGTTATCATTTTTTATCTATTAAGCTCTAATTGGCTGTTAGCTATATTTGTTGAACCAATGTATTGTCTTTGTTTTCTAGTGAAAAATCCATTCTTTCCTATTAAACACTCTGATTTTCTGTTTTTCTCTAGGTAATGTTTACAGAAGAAGATGTTAAGTTCTATTTAGCTGAGCTGGCCTTGGCATTAGATCATCTCCATGGACTTGGTATTATTTACAGGGATTTGAAGCCGGAAAAGTAAGTTAGTGCAGAAAGGCAAGTGTGAAGATTTTAGATGGAGTTGATCTGTTATGAGCACAAAATGTCCCTGAGACCCTGCACCAATTCCCTTATAAACAACACAGGCAATTAGTAGCATCTTAAAGACTAACAATTGGATTATGACATACATTTTTGTACACTGCAAACCGTTCATGAGATGCCTGAAGTGTTTGTCTTGAGCTACAATACACATGGCATTGGATAGAGAATATAAATAGTTAAGTCAGGGAGGAATGAAATGCAGAAAATACAGGCAGGGATAATGGCCATTCATAAAAACAGTTATTGGAGAGAACACATAAGCTTATTAAGATATGCATAAGAAACCACTGTTCTGGTTTAAGGCCTGGGTGATAGAATTTAACCTCTTAATGAATTGCGATTCAACAATTTCATGCTGCCATTTCTTCTTGAAGTTCTTTTGACCCCAAACAACCATTTTAAGGTCGTCTTGAGGGGCCAAAGTTTTCCTCCACAGGCTTTTGAATATTGCCCTTCCAAAGTCCAATTTGTGTGAGAAACTGGCCTGTCTGTCTTATGGCTGGCAGATGGCGTATCTCACATTGGAAGATGGGCAGGTGCACGGGCGGCTGTTGCTGTGGAAGACACGACCAGACCTGCAGCAGTGCTGCCAGAGTAGACACAGGATGAGTCCCCTGCAGGGTCTGGTCCTCATATCCGTGTCTCTGTCATGTGGCTGCTGTTGTTATTGCACACCTGTTTCAGATTTGGGGCTGTCTGCTAGCAAGGGCAGGTGAGGGGGAAGTCTTATTGTCCAGGAGGGGCTCTACAACATGGATGAGACATTAAAAAATAATAGAAAATTAAGACTAATTTTAGCTACATTAATTAGTTGATATTCATTACAAATTAAGACTGTGCGTGTGCTATCTCTCTTCTCCTCCTCCGAGTTAAGACACAGATATAAAGATTGGAAGAACTGTATTGTTTTCTCTAAAGAGCTGTCCAGAAGCCAGGATTGTATATTCATGAGCAGTATACAACTGTTTTCCAGATAAGAAAGCTTTGTCAGAAAGGCAACATGGAGGGCGGGAGAGGATACGGTTACTGGGTGTGTTTGCATGATCATCAAGGAAAAATTAGTCATGGCTGCTTATTTTCCCTCCCTGCACATGCCAGGTCTGAGCCTCCTAAGTAGCATAATTACTGTGGCCGGGCAAAGACTTTCATGATGCCCCGGTGAGGGTAGCTGGCTGGGGTGCTTTGCAACGGCCTTGAATTTGGAACATGCGACTTGCCCTGGGGTTCCTGGGTGGTTTGTACACCACCCTAGCCAGCCACTCTGGTCAGGCTTACACATGATGACAAGCTGCCCTGGCGAAGGTAGTTATGCTAATGGGGTAGCTCATGACGGGCAGGCACGAGGAGAGAAAATAAGCTGTTGTGGCTTATTTTCCCTCTATGTTCATGTGAACCTGGTCAATGAATAATTGTAGTGACAACTGCCAGTAGCCATTATTCATTTGCACTCCGTAACAGTCTGTTCCCAGCCTACAAATGTTCTATGGAACATAATTTCCTTTCAAGTTGCATTTCATTGCAATAGATAACAATATGAAGAGAGCATTACTCTTGCCGCTTTGCAGAGATTTTTCTTTAAAATTATCCCCTTCAACATTATCATCATCAACTGGAGTGGGGCAATTGCAGACGGCTCTTTTCCTCCTCATCCCAACTGAACGAACATGAGGGCATGCGTAGAATAGACCCCTGTCAGTGGTGGGGCACTCGAGGAGAGATTAAAAATTAAGAGACTGTGCTTCACGTTGTATTACAGTTATTATATAACAGTGATACATCCCCCGCTCTTATATAATAAAGGTTACATTTGTCCTAAACTTTTCCTTGTATTATCTTGCAGCATCCTTCTGGATGAAGAAGGACACATTAAGATTACAGGTGTGTGGCATTCTTCTGCTACAGCTGTATCTGCATTGCATTCTACCCAGCCTATCCTCCCAATGGCATAGCCAGCATCAGTCCTTGGCACCCTCAGGTGGCAGCCAGGACCCCCTTGCGGATACCTACCTTTGCACCTTCGTTATTTTTTTTCCTGATCTGGCACTCACTTCTAATTAGTTTAGAGGAGTGCGGGGCTTTCCCTGCCCTGCATCCAAAGGAAAAAGACACCAGGGAGAGAAAAGTAGGCTTGCTCTCCCTGTCTGCCTGTTCAGTCACCCAACAGGTAACGCATGGTGGCTCCAAGCTGGACTGAGGCAGTAAGCATGGTGGCTCGGTCTGGATTTCATTCTTCCCTTCCTCAGTGTGATCCTGGGAAAGATTCCTCCTGCACTGCCTGTGCAGCAGCTAAGGTTAGAAGACCCCTCTAACTGGCACGCATGGGATAGTGATAATAGCACAGAGGGGAGTCCTTGTTGGGGTTGCACCGGGGAAGAAGTGAACCTCCCTTTCCCATGTGCTGTGGCCCTAGTCTGGATTGTGTCCCTCCTCCAACACACAAGCCTTTAAGTCAAAATAAATAAAAACAGATGGAGCTACATGCTGTGTATTTAACATAATAGTTTGGCTCTTAGGGTGCAGTTCTATCTCCTATCCATCATTGGCTGGGAGCAAATCCCACTGAATTCAGAGGTATTTATTTCTGCATAAGTTAAGTGTAGCAATCCATTATTTGTTTCCTATGCTTCTGTGTTTGATCAAAGTCTTAATTGAAGTTCTATCACCCACTCCATTTTTACCTATGTTTGTTTAGATTTTGGCCTGAGCAAGGAAGCCATTGACCATGATAAGAGAGCTTATTCATTCTGCGGGACGATAGAGTACATGGCCCCAGAGGTGGTCAACCGGCGAGGGCACACACAAAGTGCAGACTGGTGGTCCTTTGGTGTCCTCATGGTAACAGAAGAATTTTTGTTCGGGGATTGAATGGTTGGGGCTGGCGGGCTCTGACATTTTGCATCCAACTGTTACCAAGCTGCTTGTGAGGGGCACAGTTACGAATGTGACTCTGCCTGATTGTTTATGTGGTATCAGCACACAAATCACTTCTTTCCAACATTTGTAATCATGATGGGTGAGATTCAGACTTAGTCATACTTAGAGTACGCCCATGAAAAATAGCACGGCTTTGGTTAGTCACAATTAGGTCTTTTCTAAGCATGACTAAGTCTGGACCAGCCACATGAATCTACCTTATCCTGAGTCACCAGGCATCCTTATTTAGCCCAGGCCTTTCCAGCTGGGGTCTTCCCCACCCTAGAGATCCCCATGAATGGTGATACCGGAGACAGAACCTGGGGCCTTTTGCATGCAAGGCGGGTGAATTGCCACAGGACCATGGCGATTCTTCTGTCTCTCACTCTGCTCCTCTTTTAAGAAAGGTGCTGCTGTAATGGAGGACCAGGAGATGTTGGCCTGCCCGTGGCACTGAAGTGGGCAGAATAAGGTCAGAAACACAGCCAGCCTCACGTATGTTTAGGGAAACTTTGAGGTTAGCTGATCGCGTGGGGTGATGAAACTGATGTGGCTGCCACACATGCTAGCCAAGGTGGGGGCTGATATTTGCCTTGCGCCACATATTTCACAAGTATTTTAAAGAGAGGCATACCGACTTTTGCCGACAGCATTGCACACTTAAAACTGGAGGAGATGCACATGCGTTTTGTAGTTTGAGGTTGGTGCTTGAAAACAAAAGATAAAGTAAAGATAAGCAGGGGATTTGTGGGCTGTTTCCTGTGTTTTGGTCCTGGAACCCAGGAGTGCTTTTATGTGTCAGCCCTCTTTGGTCTTAAAATTTAATGTAGAGGGAGTTAAAGCATATACCAACTTCCAGGGAAGGTAGCAGTTAGTATCTGCATCTCCTTCAGAGGCAGCCACATTGTGATCATTTTTGTGCTGCTGCTGCTGCTGCTGCTAGTATTACCAGTGCTTATCAGTGTTACTGGTTTATTTAGTAGCAGCAGTCAGCCAGGTGTTATGCAGAGCACCTGGGTGACTTGATCAGCTGCCCAAATGGACAAAGTCAGGAACCGACAATGATTGGTGTAGAATAAGGGAAATGTACTTAGTGTGAGAGTGGAGCATATGTCTGTGTCTACAGGGCCTTTCCTGCAGTGACACCATGATGTTGGAATTCCTCTCAAAAGCAGTTATGTCTGGCATTGACATTACAATCTGAAGACTCTTTTTCCGCCCTTTGGTCAGGATATGTTAAATGGCAATGTTGCCTCTACCTCTTCTGTGGTAGGCAGAGTTTTATGTTTCTTCTTTGTCTGATCATTATTGATATTGCCTATTGGGTTTGTACTTCATTAGCTACAGTTTCTCACAATAACTTTGGTTGGGGAGCTTGAGAGATTCCAGATGGTAGAGTCTGTGAGTCAATCTTGAATTCTGTCCTCAACCCAAACAAGATAATCCACACCAGTATCTTCCAGAGACTTTTTCTGCCCCAGAACTTAATTGAAGGTCAGGAAGTTTTCATTAGGGTATGCCCTTAGGAAGGCTTCCATCTGAGGAGGAGTCCTGAAAGGATTCTCCGTGGATCTCTCCTTTCAAGTTTCCTTTTCTCCCAGCTTGACAAACTTATTAACCCTGCCTCTGATTATCCTGCCAAACAATCCTGGGACAACTTCAGTTATGGAGGTTGTCTTCATCTCACACAATAGTTTTCCCCTCTTCCATCCTTGGGAGTCTGCAGTTCGAGCAACCTTTCCTCTTGTGCCCTCCCCAGTTGAGGCTCTCCACGCTTCCAAACCGCTATGCTCTCATACTGCTTAACATTTGATTCAGTCCAGAGTGGGAGAAGGCAAGGATTTCTGCTCTTGCTGCTGCTACAACTCATTAGAGGAGCACAGCTTCGTAATCCATAACATGCTGTTGCTAGGAAACAAGGGAGCCTTGGTTTACAGCCAGCCAAATTAGTGCAAAAAGAGAGGTCAAAAGGCAGGGAATTAAGACACCATTTATTCCTCTCCTCAAGATCCTGAAAGAACTGCCCAGTTATTCTGAAACTGAAGTGGAGGCATGGGTGTAGGGGCAAGAAAGCCAGGCTCCTGAATCTACTGGGTGCTTACAAGCGGGACATTTATCTTGTCACTGCCCAGCTTTAACTGCCCAGTTAAGAGGCTGTGTTGATGTCAGCTGAATGAGTCTTCTTCCATATGAACCTGCATGTGTGTTAAGATCTTTGGGGGGATCTTAATCTCAGACCAGTTGCATCAGAAGGAGAGGGCCTCTCAGCAGCTGCTCCCAGGCTCTTGCCCTCGTCAGGGAAACTGGGTCGGTCCCCATTCTGTTTGTCCTTCTGCAAGGAGGCAAACATGTTTTTATTCAGGCAAATGTTTGACATGGCTGTGAGCTGGTCCTTTCCCTCTTTCCTTCTGGTTATCCAGCTCAAGGCAGCCCTAAGAAGCGCAATTCTTTTACTGAAACTTAACAGATTACAGAGCAATATGAACGCTAAATGGCCTTCTACCAAAGTTGAGGGAAAAGTGTCTGCCCATGTAAAGAGTGGAATCCAAACTGGAAACTTCCCCTCTGTCCCTCCCGTTCAGTAAAGCTTCTGCCTTCACCCTCAGAATGGCTCCTGGTGCTTGCGGTAAGACGGTGAGGTTGCAGGAGACCCTCCAAGTGGACCACTCGTTTCTCCTGTCCCCTCCTGAAAACCCTTCCACCCCTTCCAAAGCGGACTGATTCTCACTGTCTGTTGCAAGGTGACCTTGAAACGTCAAAGTCCTCAATTCCCCCCCCCCCATCCCCTCAGAATCAGATGAATCTATCAGAACGGTCTGTAAAGAGCAAGAAATGGGTCCTCTCTTTACAGACATTTGGGGCTTCTCTGCATGAGGAATTTATTATGCACACATGATCTCATGGAAGTTTGTGAGTCGTTTACACGGCAACCTCCTCCAGGACTGCTCTTCTGTTTTCCAGCCGTTTTTGCTGCTTTTTTCAGAGCAGAGAAAAATGCCGTGTTATCTCCTAGGGTGTTTGGTAGCACCAAATTGTATGTTTTTGCAGTTGTACTATACTGCAGCGCCACCTTGTGGTTATTTAATGAAGCATCTAGGAAGGTAGAGAAATTAAACTCCTGGGGAGGGGGTGATGAGAAAACAACGCTATTTTCTTCCTGCTGTGAAATCAGAATGTCTCAGTAAAGTTGTGGGATAAATGCCTCGTGTAGGAAAGCCCAAGAACTGGCATATCAAAGAAGAGGATTTTAATTGGTTGGGTGTATTATAATGTTTTTAATGTATTTCTCTTAATGATGTCTTTAATTAAGACTTTGTTAATCTGGATTTTGATATTAGCTGACTTGTGCACTGTTTCTGGAGAGCTGACATAAATCAAATGAACAAATATCTAAGACTGTGATCAGCTGACTGAAAGTCTATTTTAGGACACACATTGAAAAGCAGCCTTGTATCCTCCAGATGTGTGGCCATGGGGATTATGGGAGTTGAAGTGCAGGTCTGGAGAGTGTTTGGCTGGAGAAGGGTGCCCAAAAGCACAGCTTTTGCTATAGTGTTGTTTAGCCCAGCTTAAAGCCTTCCCCAAATCCAGAATTGGTAATTTCCTACCAGTCATGGAGCAAATTCCTTCCCGCTGAGGTTTGGGTCAAAGAATCACCTTTTCCCTTACTTTCTTGAAGCCAGGGCAGAAAGAACTGTGCCAGCCGCCTCCACAAGTTTGGAAAGTGACCTCAGAGAGGAGGAAAGGGGTAGTCTGGTGGGCAGGAAGGGAAGGAGACAGGAGAAGCCAGAATATGATTTATCCTGAGCTGCCTCCTCCCCACCCACCTCAAAGCACCTCATTAGGTGGTCTGAAAAGGCTGTCTCTGGAAGAATTTTAAAAACTGGAGGATGAGAAGGTAAGGCTCAGCTCGGTCTCTCCTGAGTCTTTGTTGGCTTTAGTCCGACAAGGTATAGAAATCTCAGAAGTTTGGGGATTTCCAAGCAGCAAGAAACAATGAAGCTCCAGCAAGCATTCTCTGCAGGGCTTGGATCTTCAACTTTTCCTCTCTTATGCAAGTTATGAGTTACCTTTTTGAAAGGACATAGTGCTCTGACCAGTCACCTGAAGCCCGCTGTGCATTTTGTGTGCACAGTGCTTTTTTTCTTTTTTCCTGAGCAGAACCTTCACTTTCCTGGCTTCCTCCTCCTGTGGGAATCCTGATGGATTTGCCAATCACTCCAGCATCTTCAGCTTCAAACAGCAGAGTACAGTGACCTTAAACAGTATCAATCAGTAATTTTGTACCAGAGCAACCTTAGGAAGTGTCAGACAGTATCTTGCAGCAAATTAAATACACCACAGATTACTTTTAGATTATCTGGCAATAAGAGAAAAGGAAAGGAAAGACTGTTCATTATATTTAATGTTTCAGAAGTCTATTTGTCTGAAGAGGGCTTTACATACAGTATTTGTTATCTTTTACTGGCGCAGTTTAAAATTCCTAATGGGGAAGTAGGGTGCCCAGGTTTCTTACTTTACGGGGGACAGTCCTCTATTTGAAGCAGCCCTCTGTTTAATAAGTCTGGTTCAAAGTGAGAGGACCATAAGGAGGGAAAACCAGCATGGGCCTTTCAGGTATCCTTCAACAGTTAACACCTGGACGGCAGACTCAGTGGGCACATGGGTCAGCCCTCAGTCTTTTCCACTGTGGTCAGAAGCCTTAATGCTTATTATTTCAAAAGGTTCACCTAAGCATGTAAGTGTGTGTATGCAGGTGTTATGTAAATTGGCATGTTCTTTTGCCTTAGTTTTGGTGATGTGTAAGTGGCTACCTTAGAACAACGTCTTTATGTTTAGCAAAGTCACCCCCTTTCCATTTTCTGTCATTACTGTTGACCACAGATAATATCAAATCCTGCTGGCTGTAAATGTTAGTCTTGCTTTCTCTTTTCCTGTCTTCTCCTTTGATAATGGTGATAGCTAGTCTACTACAATAAGTTGAAGCTATAACAAAATGGAGTGATGCTGTTCAGGATGCCGGACATGTAGCCATGTCTTTTCCAGAGTATTCCCTTCTGTTCCTCTTCTCTCTTGTGTATGGATGGTGCCATTTGGATTACATTAGGACTAGCACTCAGAAAGTAATTGACTTAGAAGCACGCATTTTCATGATAAATAACTTCAGGCCCATATAGAGCTCACATTCTTGCTTCATGTTTTTGCTCCTCGCACATACTTTTGATCGGTGTATGGGAAACTTTTATTTTATTTACATCGAACCTCTCAAATGATCTCTCTTTATCAAGCAGTCCCTCCAGACAATTATGTATTCAGTCAGATGTTGTGAGTTGAACGGAAGCTCCAGCTTCAGTGTTCTTTAGCCCTTTTGTGATAAGCTTTACTGTTAATGGTTTCCAAACATCCATAAAAACAATGTTTTTCCAGCAGTCGGCCTACACTATCAGGTGAGGATTGTGCTTCAATGGTAAATGTCACCCTCTTGCAGTGAAAGGTGGAACTGCACCAAAAGGACTGCCTGCAAAACGTCTTGCACAGCTTACCAATATGTTTTTAATTCCTCTTTTTGAATTTTCATATGTTCAGAATATCAGCAAGTGCTTGAACATTTTGGCCTCTCTCCTACAACCCAGTTAGATTTTCTTGAAAACATGTGTGCCGCACCTCTGAAAAACACAAAAGGAACGTGCTCAATTTTCAGCGGTTTCTTTACCACAGTTTGGATGCCACAAGGAACTGGATTAATTTAAAAGGGAGAGAGGCTCCTCTGGGGCATGGAAGATGAGGAGGATGCGCGAATGAGTGCTTGTTCACATGGCAGGAAAGCCAGCTTTGCATTTTGTTAGAATCAGGTCATTGTATTTAGGTAGCAGCCCAATGAGGGTTGGCTTTGGACCATTTGTTGTATCGATGAAATCACATCCTGAGCTCATTTCCATTCATTTCAATAAGGAAAAATAACAAGTGTTTTAGAGTTCTTATAATGCTTCTTGCTAAGCATTTTGCATTCGTACAAGCTTTTTAAAAAGCTATTTACCTGTCAAAGTAAATGCAGAACTGTTCCTTAGAGGTTGTATTTTTCTCTTTTATTACTTTCATTTACCAAAATGGAATGAAAAGGTGTACTCCAAGCTATTTAAATTAGATTTAGTATCTAATTATAATTTGTTTTAATCAAAGCACAGCAGAGGTTAGCATGGCACTGCTAATTCTTGGAACACTATCTAACAAACAAAGTAACTTGAGAAAGGAGGAAGGAACTGTCTTCCGTGGGAAGGCTGATTTAGAAATGGAAGCATGCAGAGGACATACGGCCCCATCTCAGTGGGGCCAGTCCTGCCATTAAGCAGAATGAGGCAGTCCCCTCAGGTGGTGTAGGGGAGGAGATGGCAGCAAAGCATTGGAGAAGAGAGCTGTGTGCAGCACAGCCGGCCCTGGGCCCACTAGGCTACCCTGCCACCATGGACGGTGTTATCCCATCCCTAGGGCCGAAGTAAGATGCAGCTGCCAGCTCCATTGATTCTTGTCCATGAAATGGGGCAGGGCCAAGTCTTCAGCCAAGTTCTGCATGTCCCATAATCCAATGGGAACCGCTTCTGTACAAGTCCCTTTGAAATGAACAGGAATTGCCCCGAGAGTGAACCCTGCAGCTACAGCGGCCTTGAGAAATAAAATAAGTCAGAAGTGTTATTTGTTGCTATATTTAAAAAAGAGCAATTCATAGAAGAACTCACAAAAATCTGTACTGGCTCATACAGTGACCATATTTGCCTACTTCAGTAGAACAAGAAACTCAATTTTCTTGGATTTGATCCCAGCATGCACAAATTTACTGTATTAGTCCTGCTGTGTATTTATTCAGTTATTCCATTTATATCCCACCATTTTACATAGAAATACCACTCAGAATGCATTTACTGAGCTTCCCATCTATTCTGATCTTCTTATACTTCCTGAATTCTTAACACTCGCTTAAAATGTTAGGAGTTGTTATTCCTAATAACAGAGTTTGGCAAATTATCTTTATGCATGATTGCCACATGCTTCATTTAATGCTGTTCTTTTCTTCCTACTGTACACATTACTTGCTTTAACGGTTTCTGCTTTTGTCTTGTGTTAATTTCACCTGAAATTTTAGTGAGGACTTTTTTTCTAGGTGGCCCATTGAAATTGATGGGACCTGTGTAGGTGTGGAGAGCATTCCTGCTCCTTTCACTGGGACTTGATCAAAAGCTGTTCCCATTGAATGAAGCAGCACATATTTGGGGCCCACTGTATGTTTCTAGTTCTAAATCAGCATCAATTTAGCTCTGTTGACTACAGCTCTCATCATCCCCAGCCAGCATGGCCACTGATGGGTGTTGTAGTCCAACACATCTGGAGGGCTCCATGTTGGAGAATACTTTTCTAAATAATCATAAGGTTGTAAGAAGCGGCCTGCTAATTCACACAACAAGTCCATTTAATCCAGAACCCTCTTTCCAGCCATGGACAGGCAGCTGCTTCTAGGTAGCCTGCAAACTAGAAAGGCAGCTGTCCTTTCCTTTGGTTCATGTGGGTGCTTGTATGATTACTGACATGCTGATTTGCAACAGGCGCGACCAGCGGCAAACATCATTAGAACAAAACTGCAGAACTCGCGCACTTGTCACGCTTTTGATCTCTGGTTCTTCCTATTCGATTTACTCTGCTGTTCTTCATTTACAGTTTGAAATGTTGACGGGGTCGTTGCCATTCCAAGGGAAAGACAGAAAGGAAACAATGGCTCTCATCCTCAAGTGAGTAGTAAACCCTGGCTTAATTGTGTTCTATTACTCATAACCAGTGCTTTTTTTGTAAAAAAAAAAAAAAAAGTGCCGGAACTCACGTCACATCCCTGCCGGCAGTAAGCACACACACCAATCCCAAGCCGAGCAGGAGCAGGGAGCAGCGGAGCAGCCAGCATCCCAAGCAGCTCTCTCTCACCATCAGATAGCAAACACAATAGCAACCTGCAGGCACTATGTTAATGATGTTTGCTGCTGATCTGCTATTCCCGTTCAAAATCACTTCATAAAATCCATTGAAAAAAAGATGCCGGAACGCTGTTCCGGTGCGTTCTATGACAAAAAAAAGCCCTGCTCATAACCCACAATATGAAGTAGACTTTTCTGTATAGAACCTGCAGAGAAATTTAGAATGACAGACACATATTCCGTATGGGGTTTGGTTCACACAAGCCCCAATGCTGAGATCCTCATGCAACACTGGGTTACACAAATCTAAGGGATGGTCAGAGAAGTTAACCTTGACAGGACTGATAACTGGTGTGTGCGTGCATGCATGTATTAATCAACACATATGGTTGCAATCAAGTTTCCATCTTAACTAAATTCTTGCTGAGTCCTTCTTCCTCATTTTTCCCTCTTGTTGAAATCTATTAATCTTGGATTTGTTTAGACCTTTTAAAAGGGTTCTCCAGTCTAATTTTCCAAACACTCCCATGGTGTTAAAATATTAAAAGACTGTGACTTATGAATACACTGGCTGAAGGTTCAGACTTAATGTTACCCAATGTTATGCCAACGTTCTCGAAGACATTCAAAAAAGACCTGAATGTGGACATACAGGCACTGTAGGACATGTCCAAGTAGGACCTTGGGGAGAGGGCAGGTCATTCTCCAAAACCCAGTTTTTCTTTCTCCTTCTTTCTCCTTCTCCTTGGTACATCAGCACCATGGTAGGATCCTCCTCGGCAGTGGCATTCCAGCCAGTCATCCATGAGAGCTACATGCTCCCTGCCCATACATGAGAGAGCAACTGTGGTGGTCATAACTGCCACAACTAGGAGGTCTCTAGCAGTGGAACACGTTCTCTGGGGGCCCCACATCCAACAGCCCCTCAGTCTTAGGATAAGTCTAACCTACACCATGTTAGATTTGTCTGGGAAGCAATACAGTGGTACCTTGGCTCACAAACTTAATCCGTTCCACGACTCTGGTCACAACCCAAATTGGTCGTGAGCCAAGTCAAACTTCCCCATTAGGTTCAGTGTAAATAGGGTTAATCTGTAACCATTTTTTAATCACAAAAATTTGAAACAAAGTGACAAAGAAAACAAAGTAACAACAGCAAAGATCGCTGCCATCTCCCTACCCCCCCCCCACAATCACAGCCATTCCCCCACCCCCCGAGCAGAACTGTGATCGCCCAGCCCAGGGAAGATGGGCGCAATTGTCACCTGATGCAGAGTTTGCGACCTGAGGCAAAATTTTTCAAAATTCATGATTTGGTCGTGAACTGAGGCGTTTGTGAGCCGAGGTACCACTGTAATTGTGGTTCAGATATGATCCCACTCAGTAACTCACTGTCTGCCTCTAAGTCATGTTCTTACCACTCTTTCTGCATAATGGGAATAATTATGGTTTTCTTTGCATAGCCCTTGTGAGGAAGAATGTCATAAAGACTGTAAAGAGTTTGTGCAAAGAATTCAAAAATGTGTAATTTAATGTTGTGGATCAATCTATACTTAATAAGATTTCATATTCCTTTAGAATCCATATGTATTCTTTGCACATCTACATTTCTGCCACTAAATACATGCATCATTATTTTAGAAATTTAAGATTCCCCCCCCCCCCCACAAATCTTACATTCAGATGTTCTGTTCTTTCAGAGCCAAGTTAGGAATGCCACAATTTTTGAGCATAGAAGCTCAGAGTTTGCTGCGAGCTCTTTTCAAGAGGAATCCATCCAACAGATTAGGTATGTGAGCTCATTGTATTGCTGTTCTGTATATATTCTAAGTCAAAGTTTAATCTGTGCTTTGTTTTCCTTGGCAGTTAATTTCCATTTGTTCTTACACATAATGCAGCTAAACATTGTAATTATCTTGAAGAGCCACATGGTAATCAAGCTTTAATTAATGATGGGTTTGGGGCTTTTAAAAAGGATTCTGCAGATTGGTAGAGAATACATCTAATACCAGCAATAGATAAACATAGTTTTTCCCTACGGAACCAGCATACCTATGAGTACCTTTGAGCCCTGCTTGTAATCTTTCAGTGTCATTTGGCTGGCAACTGTATGAAAAGGAATACTGGATTAGATCCAGCAAAGTAATTTTCTTCAGGTCTTCTTCTGCCTTAGGATAACTGAAGCTTAAATTTTGTAAGCATGGCTATGTGCTCCTAGCTGCCACAGGTAGGTTTCCATTCACCCCCACAAATCACAGCCTGAAGTAGGTGACGAGGCAGCAAAACGCTCACAGCTCACCGTGCTGCCCCCACATGAGCCTTTACCTGTTTTATGATGAAACGTTGTCCCTTTTTTGACACAAACTTGCTCTAACTTGTTTGACATAAACTTCCATTTTCATGGACAGATCATGTCCTCGTGCAGTTTAGACTTTGGGTTGCAGGGTTGGGAGACTGATTAACTTGGTCTCCCCCAGGATCTGAACCATCTTTTGAGAGCTCCTAAGGATTTTCCTGTAACCTTGACCAGGTGATCTTGTTGCACTCCTGGTTGGCCTCTGGAGTGAGGAAACTGGCCAGGTGGGGCAGCATTGTTCCTGAGTGCCCTCTCTTACTGCATGGAGCCCAGTAAATGCCGTGGTTTTCCGAGGAGCTGACATTGTTGAAATGGTGAGGAGGCAACTAGGATAGCTTGGCAGAAAAGCTACTGCAAGTCCGCCCAGTCACAAGCTAGGGCCCACCTGAAGGCCTAGTTTGTGGTGGTGATGGAAGAAAAGAAACTGTTATTCTCTAAAACCAGTGCATATGCAAAGAGTCATCCAGCAGAGTTCGTTCAAATAGTTGAAGTCCTGTAACATTTTGGCCTATAAGAAGTCAGTGTAGACCATACAATAACCCATTGTGACCAATTTGTGTGACATTTTGCAGAGGAAATTGCTGTATCTGTGCCAACTTGGATGCCATAATTGATATTATTGTAGCCTCCAGCTATAATGGGTAGCTTTCAGTAAGTATTGGTTGAGGGTGTGGACAGTGCCCTCAGAGAAGTGAGAACTACTGTATGTGTGCTGAACCCTTGCCCTTCTAACAGTGGCTGGCAAGCTGATGGCTCAGGGTAGTTACTGATGCTCACATTTTATTAAATACAGCCTGTCTTGTGTGCTGTGCATTGCCAGGTGTCTTTCATTCCATCATCCATTTATTCACAAAATCTGGTTTTTTAAAAAGGCGGAGTATGAAAATTCCGTTCCATTTCTACAAATGTGCATCAGTGCAAGTATGATTTACTGCAAGCACAAATTTGTGCAAATTTCCTCCTCCCCACCAAAACAAACAAACAAACAAAAACCCTAGTCCAAAAGTCCATGGAATCCATGCCAACTCACTGCAGCTTCTGCAGGTTGGATTCATAGAAATTCATTTGTTTGAATCCGTTGCAGATTTTTCCAACATCACTAGTAGTGGGAAATGCCTCTTTATGACAAGGTGTGATTCCATCTTGTTTAAAAAATATCTTGGTGAGACTTTGTTAAGAAAATGCCCCCAAACACTCTGTATTAGATAATTTCTGGTCATTTTCCAGTATTTCATTCATAGAGACAAGACTGTCTTGCATTTAGGTTTTTTGTATTATATCTTAATTAAGTTTTTGTTTTAATCTTTATTTTATTACTGTCAGCCCTCTTGATCGCCATTCTGATGGAAAAGCATGATATAAATTCTATAGACAATTTCCTGGGTTTGGACTACTAGCTATTAGAAATACCCATTTTCAGTCTTTTCTACTAATCCTTGCCTGCATTTGCGCACAACACTATGCCAAGCTTCTGGAAAATCCTGGCCTTACATAAATAAGCTGTTTGCTGGAGCAAATAGCTCATTCGGTCCTGTTTGGTTCACCCCAAGCTTCCATGGGCCTGGGATCCTGACGTCTTTCTCCCAGACAAGTTCAGATTCATAAAGCAAGAACAATTCCTGATTTACAATCCTGGTTTGTAAAAAGAAGCAGTAAGGTGGGATCCTGGGCCCCGATGACAGACACAGTGAGTTTTTGAGTTCTGGGTGAATCTAGCCACTCTTGCTCCTGTGAGAAACCAAGCAGGAGCAAAGAACTCATTCACAGTAAGCCGGATTCCCCAGAATGTCCTTTGCAAACGTCACCAGTGTATTATAGACCTGGTGTGGCCAGACTGGCTCAACAGAAAAGCCACATATGGTAAATGTCAGGTGCTTGATTGCTGCACGTGGGCACCTGTGGGCAGTGCCTGCGGTCCGCAGGCGGCAAGCAGGTGCTCACAGGCAGTGGCAGGTGGCAAGTGGGCACCCACAGGTCATTTCACAAAGAATTTGCAAATACCTAATTCTTGCAATAAACTTATTTTGAACTATATGTGTATTAAATTTCAACTTTTGGGGCAGGCAGAAAATTTATCTATTTAGGGTACATTTCTTCCCTCAATTTCTAGGGGATGAGATTTGCAGATATCTCCCTTTCATACTTTTCTGGTATTTCAGAAGTACTTGGTTGCTGTGTGCTGGATTTCCATTTTCTAGACAGTGTGGAGGCACCTTAACTGATTGGAGATATATTTCCTAGTCAGCTGTTTACAGAATAAGTCTTACAATGTTCCTTCCCTCTAGAAATGTTCACTAGTGATCACAGTACTTCAGATTACGCCTGTGTCAAATTTTAACTACTTGATTTGTCTTTCATTTATTATGTGAAAACTTTCTGTTGAAGAGATGCTATTTTAACCTTACAACTTACTGCCCTAATCCAGTTACCTTCTTCTTTTCATGGTGCTTACACATGATTTCATCCAGTTTCATGGCTGATCCAGACCATTTTGTCTTTCCCTCTCGACACTTGCATGTTGCTTTCTTGTCTTCAATCTTTTGTTCATAGTGTGGAAAATCCATTAAGGAAAAAGGATGGAATTGTTGCACGAGGCCTTTAGGAGCCCTCCTTCCAGAAGCACTCCGCATGGAGTCTCACCATACAGAGAAAGCATGCAGATCTTGCATTCCACTTCCCATATGAGCAAGATGAGCAAAGTTCCAGCTTGCCAAGATTCTCCAAACATCAGCTTTTTGCTTGCCCCTCCTCGATTTCTGATCGCATTTGCAACCACTGTCTGTTTTGTGAGAGCAGGGAAATTGTTCAAAATGAACAGATACACAGGGTAAAAGTTGTCCAAGCAATGCCCAAATCTGAGTTAATTTCTAAATTACACAATTTTCTTCCATAAACTATATGTGATTGAAAATGTCAGCATTCTGAGAAAGTTTATTTATTTATTTAGAAAATTTCTATGCCGCCCCATTCGCCGAAGCCTCGGGTCGGCTCACAAAACATTAAAATATAATACATTAAAAATATAAAATGAATTTACAATATAAAATAAGTCTCCCTGGCCAAAGAATAAAATAAGGAAATAATATTAGCAATTAAAATGACGTTTGAATAAAAAGGTCTTCACCTGGGGCCAAAAAACAAATAAAGACGGCGCCAGGCGGACCTCTCTGGGGAGCGCATTCCATAGATTGGGCGCCACCGCAGAGAAAGCCCTCCTCCGAGTACCTACCCTCCTAATTTCCTTCACGGAGGGTTCCCGGAGAAGAGCCTCTCCCGCAGATCTCGGGGCAGGCGGCCGTATATGGATATAAGCGCTCCTTCAGGTAGCCAGGACCCAAGCCATTTAGGGCTTTATAGGTCATCACCTATAAAGTTGTGCATCTGAGAAAATTATACCTTTTTCAATGAAGAATTTATTTATGGGAAGGCAATTCAGTAATTTGCAAACATTTGCAGAGGAAATGTGTTCCTGTTCACATTCAGAATAGTAAATAGGGCATTTACAAGCGATTTGTGAACGGAAACAAAATTCTCAGCACCATGTTTCAAATGCATCGATTTTCTCAATACTTAATTTAGACTGTAATCCTTTGCCCACATACCTGGCAGTAAATCTATGGGACTCACTTCTAAATATGTATGTCTAGAAGAGCATTATTAGTTTTTCAATTTGTAATCCACCATTCTGTATACAACATACTTACAGTGAATGAAATAGAACACAATGTAAACAACATAAAATAATAAATGGAAATAGATTTAAACAAGCTTCTAAAGAGCCAACATTCCTACAAGCAGTCATTGGGGAGATTCTGAGTGCAAAACTGCATTGAGCAAGGAGCTTGGAGTAAATTACTTCCAAGTCCCTTCCCAACTCTAAAATGCAGTGGTGACAACCATGAAAGGACATCAGTAATCACATAACTGTTTTCATGGGAGGAGATCATAATGCAGATCTGTGACACTCAACATGCTTTTGAAGAGAGGAAGCGCTGGACTGAATCCAGGGCACCACTTACTATTCCTTGCACTTAAGTATGACTTTCTCCACTATCTTTTTTAAAAGTTCTTTGATATTTGTTCTGTCTGCAAAGAATGTGTTGCTTCCAAACCTTTAGCAGGAAAGGAAAAAAAATACGATAGGGGAAAAAAGAGAAAAACTGAACCTTTAAAGGGCTTTTGTAAGGTTGGTCACAGGAATAAAAAGAACTAAACAGCCCTAGTTGGATAGAAGTTAACCCATAGCAGCTTGCTGGGCAATGTTGATTTCTAATTAAATTTCTTTAGAGAACTAGACACAGGCTAGTATAAGTGCAGATAGATGTGCCTCTTGTGTCTAAGGCCTATTACCAGCTTTCTGACTTGGTCAAAATAAACACGCAAAGCTAAGTGTAGTAAATACTTTTGATCTGGTCTGAATCAAAACAGCAATC